AACTGAAAAGAAGCGTCTAACAGCCGGGGGTTATTTATGTAATGGTATGTTCCTGTGGCCCAGCTTTACGGGTCGAACCGAACCCGTCTAGACAGCAGCTTTAGGCAAACATGTTTTGATCGTCTCCAGGGCCTGTATGAGCAAGAAACTAATCCTAAATGGAACTATTCCTAACAACGTTTGAATGGGTATAGATTTTGTCCTCACACTGGGGTCTTCAAGAATCCTGACAGTTCCAATTGAAGGCATAAAAATGCCTATATCTTATGACCAGAGATGTACTGAACACATTAATTCCATTATTTTTGTTTCTGTGCTGAAAGGAATGGTGAGGGACTTGCCTCCAATGAGTCATCTATCAAAGTTCGAACAGAGCGCATTTTTTACCTACCAAAATAAGTTGTCACGGCAGCCGGCAGCTGGTCGTTGAAATGCTGACAGATGCGATAGCGATCTAGGGAACGACGGTAAAGAACTCAGCCTGACTCGCAACTGGATGCACTACCATCTCTGGCACTAGAGCACAACCGCCCTTGGAAAGGAAGCGCTCTTTGTGTTAGAGATCGATGACTTTGCTAATGAAACAGCATGACCACTCGCCTGTCGGGAAAGGACAAATGATCCTCACGCAAATGGACAATGCTATTTCTGATCTTAGAGCTAACAATAATGCTATTTCTATTTTAGAACTAGCAATACCTATACTCATATAGTGTCCTTCAATTTTAGTCGACAGCCCTCTGATTGTCTAGAAACCGATGCACATCAGAGCATCTGACGCTTTGTGAATGAACAATAACCACATAATTATTCGTTTCAAGGAAGTTTCTCAATCAGTGATGAGTGATGTTCATCTCACGTGCCACATATCCACTGATACGTCCAACGAAGCCATTAGCCAAGACGGCAAACGTGTGAAGATTTCACGTGTAAGACTACTCGTGCACAACAGGAGTCACAGATGAAAGGCGCACCTATACTTTAGGCTATCATTATTCATTGACTCAAATATCGCAATCATCCCAGAGTGACATCTCATACAGACTTTGCCCGCAGTAGAATAGGCCACCTAGCAGTGGCACCCAGCTCGCTATCTGGGAGTCGGATTATTGGCCGGAGGCTGATCGGACGTTTGAGCGCGTGTGCGGCACATTTTGGTTGTCATTCGCCGAGATTAATGGTCCTCCGTGCAGCTCGCTGCCGACTGCAAATAGCCGGTGCTGAGCGGCTTGGACACGCCGCCTGGCGCCGGTATCGGGCCGGCCGGCACAATGTGCGAAACTGTAGATAACGCTGCCCTATGGTGCGTTGCCCGCGCCCGCGCGGCACAGCGTCCCTGCGGCCGCCGGAACGTATTCAGATGCTATTGATTACGTCCGGCTGGCAGGGCGGCTTCCACGCCCGATTTCACAGTGCCCAAACTGTTGGCAGTTCTCGATTAATTCAACGCATGCAAATTGATTCTGAGTAGTTTCCCATATGTCCGTAATGGGCAGCTTAATATCAGCGATTGATGGCGGCCATGTAAATTGGTCGAAAAAGAAAAACTGTTGGTTGAACTCGCTCCAAATAATAACTGCCAAGAAACACCTCAGGAGACACCAATAAGTTTTATGATAATGCTCTTTTCTTTTCAAACTATATCAGTTCTTTCTCTCTACATACATCCTTTCTTCTCTCATCCATAATTCTATTTCCTCTCTCTCTCTCTCTCTCTCTCTCTCTCTCTCTCTCTCTCTCTCTCTCTCTCTCTCTCTCTCTCTCTCTCTCTCTCTCTCTCTCTCTCTCTCTCTCTCTCTCTCTCTCTCTCTCTCCCCCCCAAATCCTCTATTTCTATCAACCCTCTCTCCCTCCTCTATCTACCCCCACCCCCTCTCTCCCGCTCTTCCTCTCGCTGCCTCTTGTGCGGCCGCCTCCGGTCCCGTCATACCGACCGGAACGGCGCCCACTCCGTCTTGGCCGGCCGTGACATGGTAACCCGACGCCCGTCGACCCCCCCCCCCCCCCCCCCCGCCGCCCTCCCCCGCCCGGCCCGCTCTCCAGGACCGGCCCCCAGGGCGAGGCGAATCATGGCAGTCGCTCTGACGGATGCGAGCCGCCGGAAAGCCGAAGGCTGGTCGTTTTTTGTTCGGGACTGGCGACAAGCGGAATCAATCAGGGAGCAGTGCTCTTCGCCGTGTGTGGTTAGCCGGGGTGGGCGGAGCAGGCGGACGAGATCAGAGACGGGGCAGAGCGAGTACCGACGAACGGCGGCGCTGGAGGTCACAGGGAGAGGGAGAGGGAGGGAGAGAGAGGGGGAGGGGCACCCGGACCGGAGCGGGACTCAGGAGTCGGACAGGAGGCGGACGGGACAGGTAGTCGAGCGGCCGCGACTCACGGAGGTCGCAGACAGGGAAGGCTCGCACAGGCTCGGACGCAGACCACTGAAACGGGTGCGGTTAAGCCTAAGTCCCGTGGTGCCAGCCGTAGGTCTTAGGTCACCTTAGGAGCCGACGCACAAAACAGATCATGCTAACTATGCCATCGGCAGCCCAGCACGGTAATGTTGGAGCCAGCTGGGGCAGCGGGTCATGAAGATACCATTTTTATCTCGTGTGCCTGTTTAGTGTTTACGTCAATCGCTGGTGAATTTGGCTGGTCGCCAGAATATATCCTACATCACTGAGAATTGCCCCCGGTTCAGGCCGCGTCCCGCTCAGAAATCGTCTCCTGTTTTTGCGCTTTACGAGCGGGCCGGCTCCCAGCTGCTGGGCGGCGGCCATCCCGTGGAGATTCATGGGTTTCATGGCGACCGGAGTCGTTACGGCGGCGATGAGGAACAAATGACCGCATAAACACCACTTTAGGGCGGGATTAGCCCACGTTCTGCGTCTGTGAGGCCGCGATATCGAATATTGCAAACGGGACGGCAAAAGTTAATGATGTGCGCATATATTTCTGAAGAATTCCTTACTTGTTTCCGTTCTAAGAAAACATTTTTTTCTGAGATCGTTACGATTGACTTTATAAGTAAACAATAGCGAATGAAGAAAGCAAATAAACAAACACAAAAAGAAAATAAACAAAAAAGGTCCCATGTTCACCGGTCCAAAACAGCTCCAGCACATATCACAGTTTTTTTTTTCGTTGCACATCGCTGCGCCGTTTCATTTGAATTGCTCAGCTCGGCACTGCTGCTTTGCGCCGATGCCGAGTAACTCCCGTGGCCGCCGCAGTCGGCAGCGTGCGTGACACGGGTGGCGGCGTCCATTTATTACCGGGGACCCGGGCGGAGGCCAGTCGTGTCGCCGGCTCTTATTCACCCGGCGACCCATCAGTCCTCCGCCAGCCAAAGAATGGGCCGCGCTGGAAAACGCTGAAAGACGGGCAGCGTAGGAGGAGGAGGAGGAGGAGGAGGAGGAGGAGGAGGAGGAGGAGGAGGAGGAGGAGGAGGAGGAGGAGGAGGAGGAGGAGGAGGAGGAGGAGGAGGAGGAGGACGAGGAGGAGGAGGAGGAGGAGGAGGAGGACGAGGAGGAGGAGGAGGAGGAGGAGGAGGAGTCATACTTACTCCATCTTCGTCTTATCACTGTAAACCACCATCACCTCCGAGGTGGTCCTCCGTCACCCCATCAAACCAACCCCTAGGGGTAGGTACCCCAGGATTAGCCCCGCTCTAACCTGTCCTCACTGGCAGATACTGGAGGTCCCGACTCTAACTGACGCCGGCCGGTCGAGGTCCTCCCACCCGCAGATAGCGCGGTCGGTTGACTGCTCGTGCCGACAGTACGTCTCAGAGAGAGCCGGCGACTAGATCAACCCTCACCTCCACCTGTGGAATCAGCAGTCAACGAGTTACAACTCAGCCTCGGAAGGCGGAGCCCACAGCAGCCGGGCGGCAGAGCAAACTGGTCCGACTGACCGCGCGCACTGCAGGCCGCCCTGGCCCTCTCGGACGACTGATCCACCCGGCGATGACTTGAATTACGACCGCAGTCACCCAGTCTTCATATGGGCACTAAATGACCGGCAGAGACGGTTAGGTCACCCTGACGCGTCTCTAAAAATGCCGATCGTTAGTACTTACAGCTCCCAGCCTACTGGCCAGGCATGCATCGGTCATATCCTTTCCTGACATGTGCGAAGATGGGGGAAACATCCGATCGAGGGGGAGCTCGTTTTGAGGGCACGTCCAAACAACTGATCATCCTTTCTGACCGCAACAGAGGAGAGCGAGAAAGAGAGATAAAAAAGAGATGGGAGAGGGCAGCAAATAAATATTTGCAGAGAGTAAGGGTGGGGAGCAGGGCTGCGTAGACCGAATAATGAAATCAAAGATAGAAATTGAGATTAATGGAGGGCGAAGAGGAATAGTAGGGTGTGTGACAGAGCTGAGTGGGGCGGACGAAGGGTGACGGACGGGTGCAGCCGGACGGAAACCCCCGACATGGAGGAGGAAAGGTCAGGAACGGGTGATGAATAGCCGAGAACCAGCCGCAATAACGCGGAGAGGTCGCTGGAAAGGCCATTTGATCTGAGGGGCGGAAACACGGGATACTAAGCAGAATAAAGTATAGCGAACAAATCGAACGCAACCAGGTAACGGGAAGCATAACTTTTAGCGATTATTTGGAATTTTTGGAGTGCCATCATATTTCACAAAAGTGTATGATAACATAAGCGAATAAACCGATTAACATTTTGCTCAAAATACACCATTAGTGCATGTTTTCTTATCGCCAAATACAAATTTTCACCATTAATTCCACTATAGACTGAATCACATTTACTGCGAAGTCCATCTGAGTCGCTGTAGGCACCGCCGGTCAGGGCGGCCGGCTGATCCGGCCCCGGGCCACGGCCGCGGCGGCGGTCCGGCTCGGTGTGTCAGTCCCGCGGTCCCGGGCCGCCGCCGCCGCTAATTGCAGCGCCGACGGACGGCGCGCTCCGACGTCGGCCGTCTCCGTCGGCAGAGCCGCGGCACCGACGCCGGGGGCGCGCGGGGCGCCGCGTCGCCGACCGTCGTCAGTCGATAGCGTGTGCGGCGCGCCGGCCGGGCTGCCGAGGGAGGCGCGAGCGAGCGAGCGGCCGCTGTGACCCGACCCGCGACCACCGGACGACATGACCTAGGCGGCGCACCGGTGACCTCCGCTGGTGAGTACCCATCGGTGTGAAGACAGCACAGCAGTGTTGCACAGATAAAATTTGTTGTCTATTTTTAACTACCTACAGCTTACAAATGCTTCCTCAAATACACTTCTTTGTAGGTATGCACTATGCAGTCATGTACAACCTTCTGATGCCAGTGCTTCAAGCTGATAAGATATGCGTCAAAAAATTTAATGCTACATTTTCTTTATTCTACATCTCGACATTTCTATTATAGGAAAGCTTAAGAATGGGACAGTAAATACAATGACAATGCATCAGATGACTTATTCATTCAGACATTTCAAAACACCCTAGTAATTTGCCTTGTACGTATGTGTGCTAAGGCAGGTCAGAAAAGAAATGTTAAGATAGTGAGAGAGAGAGAGAGAGAGAGAGAGAGAGAGAGAGAGAGAGAGAGAGAGAGAGAGAGAGAGAGAGAGAGAGAGAGAGAGAGAAAAAAAAACTAAATGATGCAAGACGTAGGCTTATTATTTTCCGATTAAATATGCTTCCCATAGTCCCATTCAAACATGAACCTTGTTTCGAAATGCACTAACACGGTGCCACGCAAGATCCGGATGCTACCTCATATATTTACATTTTGTGAGCCTTTTCGTGTATTTATGTAGGAAGTTTATATAATGTATAGGTTGAACTACAATGTGAAACATGTAGGCACAGGAGTTTGCTGCAAAAATCGTTCTGCTATTTTGGTATTCCATACAGAGCCGTCAAAAGGTCGAATGGAATCTCTACCTCGAATCTCTCCGACAATAACAGCAGTCATGCAGTGAACGTCGCTCTGTGGCTCGAAGTTGTGGCCGAATTCGACTGCTCCGCTCCATTACAAGTTGATCTGTATTCAATCGTCTCCGAACAAAATGGAATCGAGTCCGGCAGTCTTCTGAATCGGTCCCGGGCCGAGATCAAGTGGCCGCAGATTGGATGTGGGAGCGGGCGTGCCGGAGAACGGCGAGCTCGCCTGGAATTCCGACCACGCCAGGACTCTAATGAAAAGACGGACATAAGCATGGGATACGGTCGGTGCTCTAAATGGAGATTCTGGCGCAGCACAATTAAAGCGTAATGAAGCCCATGCAATGCTCTCTGGTGGTAGATCTGGGATGCATTTCAAAGACGTTACTTTATTTAGCATCCTTTGGTAAACAGCACGCGGCTCCTCCAGTTTTGACATGCTCCTGTTGTGTCGTTCCTCTTTCCAATCCTCTTTGAGGGACATCCACTCCACCAAAAGTTCAAAAGCACTTTGAATTTTTCCACAACTCTAGTCACCGTGCGACAGAGTTGGCTCGGTTTGTTATATCACAGTCCGTAGGTTTTCACCGCGCTTCTTTCTTTGGATTACCGCTTGAAGTGGTCGCATTTGAGCCCGGTTCGAAGTCGCTCTCAAGAGTCCTGCGATGGCCGTGAGAGGTGAAATATGTGCCGCTTCGTGTGCTCCCAACTGGGCCGTTCCCGTCCCAACAACAGCGCGGCGGTGCTGAGTGGCTGGCCGGGCTAATACGAACCGACTCGCCGCCGTCGCCAGCCAGCGCGCTACATTCCAGTCAGCTCCGAGCGACCGGGACATATAAATGCCACCGCTCAGCTCTCTCTCAGCATGAACATGGACACACGCTGCGGCTCATTTGTCATACCATGCCATTATTGTTGCACATTTTCCAACAGCTTCTGAATCTGTCTAGATTTGATAATGGAGAGGTTTCATATTGCGCGAAATTCGAGCGTATCTCACATGGCGTCCAGTTGGCACGGCAGCTGCACATTTGCAGGCGAGATTGGGCGCCGGCTGGCCGGCTGGGGAGGCGGTATTGCTCGGTGTAACGTCACGTGCCCCGCTCCGCTCAGGACCTCCCATCGGACCGCCGCCCGGAGACGGGCACTCGGACGGGAGGACACTGTCCGACTGACAACTGGCAGTGCAACATACCAATGGAGTGCTGTCCTCACTCCTGCCGACCGGCAGTCTGACCCGGCCCACCGGCACTCTGACCCAGCGGACCACCAGTCTGGTTCAGCGGACCACTGGTCTGACTCATCCGACCGCTGGGCAGCAGACCACCAGACTGAGCCAGCAGACCACCAGACTGACCCAACGGACCACCAGACTGATCCAGCCGGCCACCAGACTGAGCCAGGAGTGACAGGTCCGGTCGGCGATACGGCGCGACACGCGCGAGGAGCTGGAGCGGCGCGTGGACCGGGCCGGGCCGAGCGGTTTGTGGCGCAGCGTGCAGCCCATAGTGGCTCCGAAGCGGAGCGACAGATCCACCCCCGCCGCCGACGCCGACGAACTAAACCGGTTCTTTGTGGAGGTGGGCCCGAGGACCGCTCGACAGGTGACAGCGGCCGGCCCGGAGCTGCCGACCCGCCTGCCGCGCGTCTCCACTGGGGCTTTCCAGGTCACCCCGATATGCCCGGACGACCTGCGCCGAGTGGTGGGGAGAATGCGGAGCAGTAAGGTGTGCGGTGCTGACGGACTTTGCGTGCATTTTATAAAACAGTGTCTGCCGTCGCTGTGCCATATTTTAACGCACATTGTCAACTCGAGCCTCGTGTCACATCATGTTCCTCGCGCTTGGAAACTGACGCTCGTACATCCGATTCAGAAATCGACTAAATCTACCGACATTTCAAACTACCGACCGATTTCTATTTTACCGACTATCGCCAAGATCACCGAACGTGTTGTGTACGAACAGCTTTTTTACTACTTCTCATCACATCACCTGTTTTCTTCTAGTCAGCATGGTTTTAGGCCGAACCATAGTACAGATACCGCGCTTCTTACCGTCACCGACTCAGTTTTTACCGCGATGGATCATGGCAAAGTTGCTCTTATCTCATTACTCGACCTGTCAAAGTGTTTCGATGTTATTCCGCATGACCGTCTGCTGAACAAGTTGTGTTTATACGGCGTTGACACACGGTGGTTCGAGAGCTATTTAAGCGACCACTACCAGCAGGTCTGTGTGCAGATGTCCGTCGGCTCTCGGTGCACCTCTCGACCGCTCCCCAATGCCATCGGTACCTACCAGGGGTCAGCGCTTGGGCCACTGTTGTACTCCGTGTATGCAAATGACTTGCCTCTTTACGCTGACAACGACGCGGATATTGTGCAATACGCCGATGACACTCAGGTTCTGGTCACTGGGGGGCCCGGCGACATTGGCTCCTTAGTAGTCACTATGGAGAACGTTCTTGTTAAACTAGGTCATTGGTTCAGCAAAAATGGTTTGAAAGTTAACGCAGAAAAAACTCAGCTCATCTTAACCGGATCCAGGCAAAACATTAAGCGGCTTCCACCTGTCAACATCAGTTTCATGGGCGCCACTGTCGCCGGCTCCCCCACTGTGCGGAACCTGGGTGTCGTGTTTGATCAGAGCCTGACGTTCTCGGCCCACATTGATGACGTTGTACGCCGCTGCACCGGTACACTGTGTGGCCTCGCTCACAGCCGGCACTGCCTGCCACAGTCCTGCATGGTCCGACTGGTCGAGGGACTCGTTGTCTCGCTGATACGCTACTGTATTACCGTGTATGGGTCTGCGAACAAGACTCAGCTTGGCCGCCTTCAGCGAGTCCTCAACTTCTGTGCGCGTGTTATCTCCGGCCGGAGGAAATTCGACCACATTAGCGACGTGTTGCGACAGCTGGAATGGTTTACCGCTGATAACTTGTATCTGTACCATGGCTTGACGCTGCTAAACAAGATCCTGCGCACATCCGAGCCAGAGGCACTCTCGAGTGGTCTCATCACTCGACAGGATGTCACCCGCCGATCCACGCGACAGTCAGACCATCTCGTGACGCCCCAGATTTTATCAGAGTCTGGGAGGCGGAGGTTTTTATACTCTCACGTGACAGCGTTCAATAGACTCCCACCAGCGATGCGTGATATGCAGCACTCTCTTTTTAAGAAAGAGCTGCGTGAGTGGCTTCTGAGGAGTCAGAATGACGGCTGATCAGACTCGCTGACGTTATTTTATATTATATCTGACGCCGTTCACTCACTCGTATGCATGCATGTGTGTTTTTATGTACCCACCTATTGCACCTGCACCGACTGTACCTTCTTGACTCGAGGCTATGAATAGCCATTGTATGATGGAATGCCTCACGACGTGAAATAAATAGACAGGGTAGATGATCAGCAGGGGACCACAATGGGTCGGCACATAGTCAATCATCGCCTCTCGGTGACCTCTTCATTTGTGAAGTAAGCTTCTATTCTTAGGAACTTACCTCCAGTTAAGGATTGTTGAAAGATTGGAGTCCATTTCTCTAACAAACAAGAGACAAGGCGCCGATAAAACTTGTTATCCTGATTGTTGGAGTTCGAGCTACACAAACCTATCTTATTTGGATAACAGTAATGCATATGCAAATGTCCTTGTGCGCAAATACAGAGCACTCTGCTCCACCCTGAGCGGAGATTGGCTTTCCTTCACAAATACATATGCTATTGAGCTTTTTCGTTTGCGTACATTTTCCATCCATTTACTGTATTAAGCGATGAGTTCAATGATAGCTAACTGTGAATAACAATTTGACGTAGCGATAAATACTTGACGAGCCCTCTAAGCGCCAGTCACAGCCGGGCAGCTGTGGATAGTGACGGGATTATGAGTCGTCATGGGATAAAGTTGTGGATTATCCCGCGAACGGATTTCTCCTGTCAGCCTCGGCAAAAGCGGTAACAGCCCAGTGTGAAGTTAGTGAAACTCTGAGATAAAAATAAAATTATTGACGCCGTCTTGGCAGTAATTACAATTCGATTTCGATCCTCCCGATTCCTCCGTGTACATTCGCTCAGCCTAGGTCAGTCACTGGTGGGCCATCTCCCTCCTGTTTCCGCTGGCCGCTATAGGAGTTTATACTGCAGTGGCCGCTAAACTCCGTCCGATCGACCGCGCGCTGTCACAGCCAGTGACACTATTTATGGCGCCCGGGCACACAATACGGCCATAAATCGGCCAGAG